TTTGAGTTGGAGTCTCACTGTCGCCCAGACTGGAGTACAGTGGCCGCTCCCAGACACCGCAGCCTCGACCTGCTGGGCTCCAGTGATCCTTCCGCCTCAGCCTTCCGAGTAGCTGGAACTACAAGCGCGCTACCATGCCCAGCTCATTTTGATTTATTGTAGAGATGAGGTCTCGCCAAGTTGCCTGGGCGGGTCTCAAACCCGCGGGCTCAGGCAATCCACTCACCTCAGCCTCCCAAAGGCATGGGATTACAGGCTCTTTTTTTTTTTTTTTTAGATTGGAAAATATAGTTTATTTACAAAATAAATGAGAGAGAGAGAGATTCACCTCCCCAAGGTAGGGGTGGGGGCCAAGGCTTAGGAAAACATGGGCTGGCCATAGCTCAAAGTGTGCACATGACCACACCAGAGTCATGTAAAGCAATGGCCCTTCATCTTTGTGTGTGTGTGCGTGTGTGTGTGTGTGTTGTTGTTGTTGTTGTTGTTGCTGTTTTGGGGTTTTTTTTGAGTTGGAGTCTCACTCTGGCGCTCCCAGGCTGGAGTACAGTGACATGCTCACGGCCACTGCAGCCTTGACCTGCTGGGCTCAAGCAATCCTTCCGCCTCAGCATTCCAAGTACCTGGAACTACAGGTGCACGCCACCATGACCGGCTAATTTTTTGATTTATTGTAGAGATGAGGTCTCACCAAGTTGCCCAGGCAGGTCTTGAGCCCGTGGGCTCAGGCAATCCTCTCATCATAGCCTCCCAAAGTGCTGGGATTATAGGCATGAGCTACCGTACCCGGCCTCCGTCATCTTCAAAATGGGGATGACACTTGCACTAACCATCACCAAGGTGAAATGAGGCGTGGCCTAGAAAGCACTCAGTACAGCTCCTGGACTGGGGCCGGGACTCTGAAATATTAGCTCTCATTGTTATTAGCTACAAAACAGGTAAACATAATCCTTGTCCTCCAGGACCTTGGAGTCCATTAGATTCTCCACTTAGTAACTTTGGGGCAAGTTTCGTTTAACTGCTGAGTCTCGATTTCATTATTTGTATGATGGATTTTTTTTTTTTTTTTTTTTT